ACTGTTATGTTGTCCAAATTGAGCGCTTCATTATTTCAAACAGGTTTTGTTAAAAGTGTATTTAAACCGTTTGATAAATGAGTCATCGTTGTACGGGGAAATTTTCATTTTCTTTCCGGCGTTTACGTTTGTGAAAGTGAATATTGTAAGGAAAGAGATGTAACTAACATTTTACCTTAATGACAAGTGTTAAATATGCATATCGAATGGCAATAAATTAAAACAGTAATAAAGTTGCTATGCAAAGTGTGTCATAAAATCCATCGATCGGCAATTGCAGCATACGTTTCGAATATAAATGAACATTTCACATGTTCTGGAAACCTTAAATGTTAAATATGAATGTTAAGTTTAGGCGAAATTCTTTGAATACAATTGACTTTTCGCTGAAGTGATTTTTTTTTACAATTAAATACATTACAACAAAGATGTGGACGAGCGTACATGTATGCAACCAAATATGTTCTGTTAGCTAGTAAGAAAACGTCCACACCTGGAACAACCCAAAGTCCAAAGTTTTGCTGGCACTTATGTGTGCATAACTATATGAAAACGATTTTATTAAAATCGTATAAATCCTGTTTGATATTTGCGCTTTTAGGATAAATAAAAAAATGTCTGAATTTTATAACATACGTTATGAGCGAAATATACCTACTTAAGTGTAACCTCAGCCTTTGCATACGAAAAAAAGTAATGTTTTTTTTATTTGAAGATGAGCCAAGAGACGGGCGCCTTAAATTACTTCTAATGCCCAGGTGTGTGCTTTTGGCAGGTGTATGCCATGCCTTTTAATGTGTCTAACTTGATAACTTGATACGCCTTAAGTATAGCAAATATACTCGCATTTTTGCTTGTTATATTTTCTTTCAAAATTGACGTGAATTGCTTTCCTGGCCGTTTATATATTCAGATATCTAAAGAATTCCGATAGGGCCATCATTTAGGAATGTTCAGTAGTTCGAAAGCACGATAGAATCTTCGAAAGTACGAAGTGAAAGTACGGTGTTCAGCCCGCAAACTCGCAGGAACTTTATAATGGTATGCCGTAACAAAGATTAATTTGAAAACGAGTAGCTCTGATATAGTTCACCCTTATGGGACACCATAGTTCATCACTGAATAAAGTTTAATATTATAAATTCCAAGCACGGGGCGGATTTCTGACCACAAGGTCTGGGGAGAATTGACAAACGTCTATTTTACACTGATAAGCACATCATGCTGCTTTTATAATGTATAAACTGTTTATTTTTGACGATGCTATCATATTTTTGGCGTGTCCTGGCATGCGTGTGGAAAGATAAGAAACGCACGTGCGTACGGAATATTTGGAATACCTCAAGAGAAACGCTTTCATTTCAGCATGTCTGCCTTGTCCAGACTGCGAAAGTGGAAAGGTCAGTCATGAATAATTATAAGGGTCACATTTTAGGGGTAAATGCAATATTCAAGGAAAATGCAGTCAACAGAACTTGCGAAGTTATTTGTCTTAATTTTTAATCAGCTAAATCAACCAAAATGTACCTATATGGACATTACAAGTTTGGCATAACGAAGCCCAGAACGCCATAGGATTAATTAAAAGATCTCCCTTGTTTTGACCATTACACACCCTTTAAGGCGCTCTGTCCGTTGAATTCGTTATTTCTTATTGTCGTATTAACTATAAGTTTAAAACAATTATATAGGGCGAGTAAAGAATATTCCTGCAATTCAATACCGAAGAAAAAACAAAGAAAGCGTATCGAATTTTTTAATTATTTTATTATTCAAATATAAAACAATTCATCATTTGCAGTGGTTGCATAAAAATAATAACAGTTTCCTGTCGCTTAAGTGCGGAGGTTCAATTTTACAGATATCTTAAAGAAAAAAGACATTTTTATATAGTTCAAATTTTTTCGTTTTTTGCTCGCCATATTTACTACACCACTGAATAAACTTATAACGCTCGCATTCCGTGGTAACCTAGCAACACTGAAATTTGCACAGCCTCTGAGGAGAAAAATCTGACTAAAATTAACCAGATATTTTTCTCTCATTTTTTTTTTCAACCTCATCTTATGTAAAATTATATAAAACCATTCCTTGGAAAACTTGTGTAAGCTGTTTTGTTTTTTTTTTAAGAAAATACCTTAGGATAAGGGTTGTTACATCTTTAAATGCTGACCCAATTACCCAGCTGAATACTGGAGAGAAAAGTTTACAAGTTTCCCCAAAGTGTCATATTTAATTGAATTAATTTGAACAGGTAAAAAGATTCAAAACCCCAAGATTTGCGCAAGTTAAAACTCTTTCCTTCTGTTATTTAAAGTGAAATTGTGTGGCTCTAGGTGTAGTCTTCCACTTGAATATTATATAAAGGACTCATTTTGTTACCTCCAATAGAATGAACTATAAATAATAAATAACATCTTTATATAATAATAATACACTTTGTGTATATTTTTATTTACAACATATTCACATGAAAATAATGCAAAAACAAGATAATTTCAAAGTTAAATATTTTTGAGATCAACAAAATGAAAAAAATCCCTAATCTAGAAAGAGATTTTTTTACACCATTGCACAGAACCAAATTTATGGTCAACAACCAATATGTTAATGTAATTTCCTAAGTCTTACAATCACACAAATATAAAATCATAATTTATAAATCAGACAATTTTTTAAAAAATGATCCAGTCACCAGAGAAAAATGTGAAATGAATGAAAATACAAAAACATACAGGTAAATTATCCACACAAAAAATATTTTTGTATCAATTTTTACCATTTTGTAAAGGCATGTATAGCTTTTTTCAAACAAATCTATTTCTTATAGGTGATTAAAACCACTTTATCATTTTTTCCCTAAAAAAATTCCAAAAGTGAGCAAAAATAACAGAAAATCATGTCTCTTAATAGAAATGGAAAAACTAATGTTTTTCAATGACATAAATATATGTAAGTTAACATAATCATACAAAAAAACATGATGGCAATACATTGACAATAACATTAAATGCTGAAACATTGCACCAATACAATACAGGAAATGAAATGCATTCTGGGTAAAAATTTAACTGGTTAAATTAAGTCTTCATTAATATTATAACACAATTTTACAGAAATAATATTAAAGGCTACCCAGTAAGGACATAAATATATGAAAGTTGAAATGAACAAATATTTGAAAGAATGACCAGTTTTCAAACTTAAATCTACCTACATCCAGTTTACTTAGTACAATACTTTGCTGGTCTTTTTTTAAAACAATTCATTTAAACAAAAATGATTTCAACCAACAGACATAAAATTTTGACTGAGTAAACAAATATTGATGTATTATAAGACAAAAACTTTACATTTTCCCCCTATAATCATACATTGTTTTAAACATGCCAGAAAAATTATGCTTTTCGTTCAAATTTTTCTTGTTTCCATAAATTATCATGTTGAGCTAAACAATTAAAGTAAAAGACAAAGCAGACCATATAGTAAGACTGGAAACATTACATAGAAAATGAAATTTAAAGAATCATTTTTGGCAAACATGTATATGTCTGACAAATGAAATGCATTTTACAAAGTGGATAGATTTTTCTTTGTACTTAAAATACAAAAAATGTAGAATATTATAATAAAATGTTTAACAAATGAACCCTGATATGATGTTTCAATGGAACACAAAATGGCGGCCAAGTTTATTACTTTTCTTCACAAGAAGTTAATCTATTCTTGTTAATTTTAAGTATCTAATAACTAAATTCTCTAAAAGAAGCTCTAATATTCTCAACTTTCAAAGTATAGACCTAAGAAAAAATTTATACACAACTATTTAAATATTATGTGTTACAAATTTTATGGTTTTGTTAATTAAAGAAAGAAAGGGAAAAAATCATGAGAAGATGCCTAAAGGTAAATCTATGTTAAATGTTATACATCATAATGTGTCAATACCTATGTTCTACTTTAATGAGATAGCTAGATCATTTTTGCTGCAGGCGAAACTTTTGTTGACTTGTCGAACACTAACAAAGAAAGACTTAATGAATACTTCAAGTTTGTTTTTTACCTTCTATATCTATAGCAATGATAATTTTGCTTATATGTACTATTACATTATATGTAGACAGTTTAACTAGGAACAATTAGTGTGGTGATTGTACACAGTTTAAATATTGCAGTGTTGCATCTAGAATTTCAAAATTATGGGGGATTGTCCCCCACTCAATTGAAAAATGTGGGGGATTTGAAAAAAATGTGGGGGACATACATTTACCTTATCAATATGACATACCTAAATAGAATTCATTTTATTTTCGTTCAGGCATTTTTTGACAGTTATTGTCGCTCCAAAAACAGGAAGTAGAAAAAATAAAGAATATTGACGAATACCTTACAAAACACACGCGAGATGATTTCAGTCGGCTGCTACATACGCGATTTAGTACGTTATTTAGTCATAACACGAGTGAAAAACAAACATGGCTGAAGTGTTTGAGATATTTCTTAGATACGATGAAGATAAACTGAATTAAGTTGAAAAGATCGTCAGATGCGCGACTTGGCGCGCACTGACTTCATTGAAATGCGCGATCTGCATAAAAAATGCGCAAATCGCGCAATCGCGCGGCCTAGATGCAACACTGATATTGGCAAATAAGGTGACATGTTATTATATATTAAAGGTCTTAAATATTTATTAATTATATGGAGTAATATCCCACTAAAACCTCATTGAGTTATACATGTATACATATTTTCTACCTAATCTATTTCAAAATTGAAATCTGTAATTGGAAATTCGAATCAGAGTTTTTAAGTATGCATTCATAAAAATAATTGCTTGAAAATAACTAGGAAAGGCTTTTTTACATCACTTTTTTTTCTGTGTAAGATTAATTCTTAATTTACACCATATTCCAGCATTGGTCACCCTTTGTTCGAAACGAAATAACAAAGAGATTTTACCACTGGACTAGATATAATTAAGATTTAGTTATGCGAACTTTAATTCTCTTAAATACCTATTAAAAGATACTGCACATGTATGCAGAACTTCATCATAGATATATGTTTAAATACATTGTAATAAATTATGCTTTATATTCAGAAATAGTTTACTTTAAAGACATTATATATTATATCCCTATCAAAGATTTAAGTGAATTGAAAAAAGAAACAATAATAGTAATTTCTGAAGATTCCCGTGCACCAGTCATTTGTTTGTAACTAATACCCTGCCCCTCTGAGAACTTTACTGACTGCAGTGACTTCCCCTGCATATCGGTCACATTTAGATAACCCAGCTTCGCTGATCCTGAATTTAAGTCGCCCGCTGGTCGCCAGGGTTTTGAGATAACACAAATGACTTGTACACGAGTTCTTTAAACACCTTTACAAGATGTTTTGTGTACTAAATTTAAGCTAATCCATTAGATAGAGCTAGTATACTTTTGTGTGGATTGTCCATTTGATGGATGAATATCTTGGAGGTTTCTATATCTATCACAATCTATAGTTTAGCCGTTGTCATGGTAACTCCATATACACCCTCTGAGATCATTGTTTGCTTTGGGTTTCTTTGTAATTTTCTGGAGAAATGTTCACGTGCATTTGTTAAACATGTGCAATTTGTGGAAAAAGTTCCCCCTTGGATGCATGACAGTTCTATATATTCCAGGCTTTGGTAAGAATCCCAAATCTTCAAACAAATAAAGTGATGTAATGGGGCACCATTTGCACCAATCCGGCTAGCACTTGCTTTGGTAAGCTATAAAAATAGAGAAAAAAGAAATGATTAGAAATAATATTCAGCTAATTCTGCAATTACATATCAATTACTGTGAATTTAGGTCAGTATTTGAAAGCCCTGTTTATCTTCAACAAAAGCCTATTACTACAACTCCCTGCCTGTAGTTTTCCCACGTTTTACGTATTAAACTTCAATTTTATAGGACGTAAACCCCTGAACAATAACACATGGACGCCTATTTACTGCAGTAGTAGTAGCTATTTTTAGACCAAAGCTACGCGCTAGTAACCTCGACAACAGGTCACGTGGTATTTCATTACGCTGCGTTATCTCGCTGGTAAATTTCACACGACAGGTCGAGCTTTATGCAAATCGAGTTGTATTTTACTAGCTGTAGTAAATGTATCTGATAGAGGATGACTTTATAGTAAGAACAGGTTTAAAAGCGAGATCTAAAATGATTGTTTACTACACAATTTAGAGCGTTATTTTAAGCCTTTACAGAATAAAATACGAGAAGCAATTAAAAAAAGAAAACTCTGAGAATAACTTACCAATAAATAAAAGATAAAGTAGAATCTACTATGTAATTAACGAGCTACGTTCGTGCGATCTTGCTTGGTCTTGACTCATCATCACTGCTATAACCTTCAGACAATCGCCTTTTCTTTACTCTCATGTATTCTGAAAAAGATACACACAAAATTAGGGAAAAATCACAAAAAAACTAAATTAACAATGTTATCAATATATGCACACGAAAGCATTGCCACCTTTCAATTTTTATGCGTTTTTCGGGCAACCTTAAGTATCCGTCCTAAAAGTTAATATTGCCCTTGTATTGGTATTATCTTGTAATAATGCAGACATTATCGTTAACCGATTGCTAACGATTGATGAAAAATCAATTGTCGGGGTAAATATTCAAATATGTTAAATAGTCCTATAAATGACCAATACAAACAAAGCGTTTGTGAATATAACCATCAATAACGTTTTTGTAAGAGCGAATGCAAACAATTTTACGATATTTTTGAATATAATATTGTTGCCAGTCTTCCTAATTGACCTATTCATAACGCAAAATGACCCTCTGGATATTGACTTTCACGCACACAAAATAACATCTGGCAGAGTGTAGGGGAATAAAATCAATTCACTGAATACGCAAAAAAATCTGCTGGCCGTAAATGAAACTTGATGCGCAATTTAATATAGCTTTCTTTCATTTAGATACTAACTTTGTATTTAACAATGTATGAGTGTTTTTTTTTTAAGGAAAAGGTGTGGTTATTTTCAAGTATATGGATCCGATATACGAAAAGTAATAAAAGTTGGCAGACATGAATACTTTCCATAAACAATAAAAATATATACTGTATATATAATCGTTATATATATAAAGTTTTTCTTTTGGATAAATTACAGTCAATTCAGTACGTTCTGATGTAAACAAAGAAATAATTTCATGTTTCAACTTGTTTGTATTATGAATGAACGGAGGGAAATCCCGGTACGACATGACAAATAAAATCGCACGGATCGGAACATGTTCGAACAGGAAATCTATATCTACCAATAGATTTTAACTTGTCAATAGGAACAAATAAAGACTGTGGAAATCGGATTTCCCGCAGAAATTCAATCGACCCGATTCAACACGTTGAATTTAAATACCCGCCTTTCGATTGTTGCTATAAACCAAAATAAATAAATAAGTTTGCATCATTGCGAAAGAACTAGCTTACATATTGGAGAAAATATTAACCACGATATTTGTATCAAATTATTTAAAACGTAGGCTGGTTTACTTTTTAATATAATAAAGAAAAACATGATTTGTTTCGGGTTTTTTTTACTTGTAAACAAAGTCAAGCTCTTATCAATACGTGCGCACACTGATCAATAAAAACATAAAAAACAACCAGCAAGAGTAGTGAAGCGAATTAACATATAACTTATCCTTTGCATAAATCATTTATCTACAGCTTTTTCTCTTTCAAAAGTGTAACAGTATATTAAGTTTAACGTAAATATAACTCTAAGTACTTACCAGGAATTTTTGTTTGTCTCACGACACGGGCTTCTGGTGTCGTTTCATTTTCCCGTTTCAGGTCGACCTCTTCGGCTTCTATGTCAGACTCCGTTTCTCCCGTCAACCTAGTGGTTGCTGGGACTGCTGCTGGTACTGTATTTTTGGATTCTTCTAATTTAATGTCAATATCTAGAATAACGTCTCTTCGGCTTCTAAATTTAGAGGGTTTGTATGCCTTCGTGTAAAAAGAAGGCACATCATTATTTTCAAGTAAACTCCACTCGTAACGTCCATTTAAGGGTTGATCAAGCAGTGGATCAAAATTCCAAGTGTTTTTCATCTCATGATCAGTCTGTTTCAATTGCGCTTTGAGTTCAGCTTTCAATTCCTCGTGATTGGGAATTCCGAACAAGCATCTACGAACTCCTTTTGATTCCATATTTCCAAATTTACCGATTGATCGCACAGGCATATTATAACTATATAATTCCAGAGTATATCACTAAGTTTAAGTTTTCACGTCCGTGTGCTGATACAACTACGTAGCGAATAATGTAAACTTCAGGTTATTAATCTAAATATAGATCCCATGGGCGGGGCTTAGCTAAGCGTGACAGCGCATGTATAATCGTCGCCTGCTGATTGGCTGGCGGTATAATCGATGCAGGGATAATGACCTTCTAGTGTTATACGTCATGCCAGAGGCGGTTTAGTCATGACGAGCTGAGAGATTTCTACACCAACTGATAATAAGAGGTGATTTACAGAAAAAAACAATTGTCTTTAATTTCGAAAAGCCGGAAAATAAAAATACAATCATTGTAAAATTGTCTGTTCAAACAAGGAAATATCTGTTGCAAGTGTTGATTTTATATAAATTTAATTATTTGCCTGCACCCTTCCATCATTGAAAGTAGGTCATCGCATGTTGTCATAATTATAATAAATTCGGCCGTTATAATGTTGCACTCTGTATACCAACCTTTGTTTTCATAGTTTATTTTCAATCTGTTATACCAATTTCAGTATTGATTATCAATAGCATTAGGTTTTAAAATGGTTAACAATAACATCAAGATTTTAAAACTTCGTCTGAACGTGCAATCAACATCGATGACGATACAATGGAAGGGAGACAACCCGTACATAACACTACCTAGACTCGTCTAATCTTGTCTGCACATTTCAGCAGCAGTTGAAACATGTTTGTTATAAAATACATACGAAATGAGAAATTCTGAAAAAAAAAAGATTTAAACAAAGAGAACACAAAAGTCACTGCATTTCAAAGTGCAGATGGGAACATAATCGTTTATTAGCTTTTAGATTTATCATCTATACATGAATGCATTACATTGATATCTGAGGGCTATAATTATATTGTTTATTTCATATAGCAAAGTATTACTCAATGCCAGAACAGCGCTGTAGCAATAAACCTGGCAAAAAGGTATGTCACCCCCTATACAGAACGTTTGAAGCCTTTTTTCACATGAATATAACATTTGCTTTCTAAAGATATCTTTTCATTCCATGTGTTTGTAAATGCTTACATTTATGTGTTTTGCGTAACGAAGTTCTTATTTTTGTATTTTAAGACTATTTTTTTCAAGTTGCGGAATCAGAATAAAGTTTTTAATCAAGTAAGAAATGTGTGTCATATTCAGTTTTTGATATTGTTATATCAATAAATTAATTAATATTTTTTTTCTTTTTTTTTCCTTTTTTTTAATTTTTTTTAATGATTGTTGAGGAGAAACCGGAAACTAACAATTATGTTTAATAATAACCATAAATCAAACAATTAAAGATAACTGGTCATTGACTTTGCAAATCACTTCCTAAATAATTTGTACTAAAACGCTAATTAATTAATAAAACGATAATCATTATTAAAGATTGCGTGATGATTAATAATAGCAAATTAAAATTGATTTTGAACATATTAGGTGCAACTTTTTTAAATATGCAAATCACTTCCTAAATAACTTGTAATAAAACGCTAATTTATTAATAAAACGATAATTATTATTAAAGATTGCCTGATGATTAATAATAGCAAATTGAAATTGATTTTGTGATACATCTATAAAATTTTATCACTGTCTATAAATTTATTATATCGGTAATCAAAAGCATTTGTCATTTATGATTATCATGATCTTTATTTATCTTAGATGTTGTTCTTGTTGTTAAAAAACACAAACAAAAAGTCAAGCAACCATGTAAAATGTGGCGATGAATAAATCTAAAATTTATTAGTAGAAATTACACTAATAAATTTTATACAGACGCTTATTGTTTAATGATAGAAACCAACTAAATTACATGCTGTAAAAATGAATATTCATTAATCAGATTTATTTTTTCGATGCATTCCTTACGTCTGTTGCCTTAGTAAGATTTGTAAAGATTGTTTTTCATAATGATAATAATGATACATTTTATCAAAGGAATTAATCCATAATATGTAAGTAAGTAAATATTTATTGTCATCGTGAAAAGTGTATATCTATAACAATACATATCTGCAAGATAAAATGATATATCACCGGCTCTACGGGCCTATAAGTCACCAGAAATCATATACATTGCAGTTAATAATAATCATGATTATGAATTTACATATATATAATGGTTTGTTCTTAATACGTTCTATTAAGTACGCTTAATTATATGTTCAAAATAGGAAGTCGTTTATTTAAGATGGATTCATAATGCAGGTTTGAGTTAAAGCTTTCATAGTCAGTATACGTATTCTAATTTTATCACTGTTTGAAATTTAAGACAAAATGGTAATTTTCTGCAACACTTTGATACGCTCATCGATTTCGGTTCTCATCTCTATCCAGACCGATTCTCGCACACAGACAATGGATTTCTAGTGTCTACATGTATAATTATAACACACTATCTCTTGATAACGATCAATTAAATATAAATAATTCAGAACTATATACATTTATGGTAATTAGTTTTCCCTATATCAGACGACACATAAAAAAAATCAGCAAGTATTACTAAGACAATAAATTTAATACAGCAGACCTAACAGCTGGCGCGTTCCCTACTGACCAGTGAAATACTATACGTCATAAAACAATATTTTATTACACAATTTAACCTCTTTAGTGGCAATTTCGATATTAAGTTGACTCTGTTTTCATTGAATATAATATTACAGGGACCCTTTTTCAGCACTACTTATAATTTAATTGTACTGTTCATCACTCGCTCTCCACTAATCTATTCACTTGGTAAAGACAGATGGTCCGCGGAAAAAGACAAAGGACCAAAACTATCCAATAATTAAAATCAACGAAACGTTCGGCACAATGTAAAGTTTCTTATCAAGTTGCAAATAGTCTTAAACAAACGCAGACGAGAGACACGCGATGTTTCTGGCTCTTGTTGTTTAAGCAAGATTACGAATATTCTTTGTGCTAGCGCGTTTATAATGCCAAAGTCAACCTGAGGTTCGAAATTTAAAAAAAAAGAAAACAAATAAAAAACGAAAACAAAACGACTCCGGTATTACGTTTGCACATTTTTTAACTTTCTTTGTTTGAACGTGACTGTGCCTGAGATTGATATTTGTTAAAACACGTTCAAAGATTTTGCCTTTTAGAAATTAACTTAACTTAAAAAAGGTATATTTTTTATTTCCAGGAAAGATATGCAAAAAATACATCACGGAAGCTGTTCCAGCAATTTTTATTATTTAGCACATACACAAGAACAAGTTAGATTAACTTCTACGTACAGGTGACTTCAATTTTCATTGTTAAATTGTTCAATCAAGTCAAGAGATTCTTTTGAAAATGAAATGTTCAAATCGGAATGTCATTTATCTGTAAATAATTTTTTTTTTTTAATAAACATAATTATATATGTATGCTTTGCCAAATAAAATGCTGCTTGATTGATAATTTTTATAAGGCATTGAAAAAATGTATGTTCTAAAATGATTTTTTTTATATGTTATGTTCGTATATTCTATTCTATATTATTCTATTCTGTTCTGCTCTGCTCTGCTCTTTAAATCGACGCTGAAACTTTCATCCAGTGACACAACTTCAGTCAACATTGATATGTTTTGAAATGTCACGTGTTAATTGGTGGCTCTGTAATTAACAATTCTAATGAATCTGTATATTTGCAGACATTTGTGAAGGACGGTAACCCCCGGGATGCTGAATGACACCCTCCTGCAGTAACCCCATCCGCCAGATGTGCACGTGCTGTGTATTGTACCGTTATGTGACATCCATGGAATCTAATTATCTGGCACGCGTTGAGTGTATGTTGCGCTCGTTTTGTCATCCAATGATTAAACAGGACAAAGTAGAAATGGCTGACAATTCACTCGCAGACTGACATGCTTATGCTAATAAATCAATGAATAAGTGATGGTTAAGAACTTGTTCGTTCTTTTAGGGTTTTTGTTGTTGTTCTTTTTTTCAATACTTTTCATGAACCTTTATTCATAAATATTCATTTTCACTCAGTGAACTTTTTGATATTTAAATCATACTTAAATATGCAATTGTAGTTCTTGTTGAATGAAAGAAAGAAAGAAAGAAAGAAAGAAAGAAAGAGAAAGAAAAGAAAGAAAGAAAGAAAGAAAAAGACAGACGATCGGACGAATAAGACATACAGGCACTTGAATTGAGAAAGAAAGAAACAAAAAAATACGAATAAAACAAAGCAAGGAAAAGATATAAAACAATTTACAACTTTTAAGAGGAACTGAAGTTTGATTTCAAGTTAAATTGATTTTCTCAAATTAGCCGACAATCATAAATCAGTTTGGATGAATCTTTTCCTAAATTATTACCTGTCACCCGAATGTTTACTGAAATGTGGAATTTTGAAATTATCTAATTATTATTACAATAATAAATCTACAAAGAATGGGACAAGATATTTAAAGTGAACAAGGATGGTATTGATTAAAGGTACACTCGTGTGTAAAAAACAGCTGTCACCACTTTTTGAAATAATACCCATGTTGTCATAGTAAATCTTCAAAATCTATGAGCCTTACAAGATTTCTCTCAAAGATGCTTGTAAAAGGCCACGCCTCTTAAACGCTCTTTTTATGTAAGGGTTAAATTGGGCATGTTTGACTTTCAGCTCTTCTTGCATCTTTTCGATTTTTAAATCAATTTTATAATTTTCTCCCGTTTAGCGTTATTCGGTGATTATATATATTTTTTATATTTTATTTTTTTAAATTGAAAAGAAAGGCTTTTAACAATTTCTAGTTTTTAAACTGCTTAAACAAAAAGATTGGCTCAAAACAAGCTGGGAACCAACCGTTCTTTCACAGGAATTCCGCAGATGTTAAACACGCAAAAATAGTTACACGATAACAAATTATACGTAAGACAGGAAAATTGCCAAATAGGTGCAGTTATATTGTGTTTTCTTTACTTTATAATTTCTTTGTTGTTAATATGAAGTGTATGCCACTTGTCCACTCTCACATCCGCAACACCTGTCACGGTTCGGACAAGTGTTCTCTAGCTGTCCAGTTACAATGGCGTTGAATAAAATGTTTTTGTTGACCACAACAATATTTTCTCGCTAGCCTGTATACAGATGGTAAAGTACCGTGCTAAAAACACCACTTTCTATTAAGTGTCATGTTGCGTTGACAAAAACGTGCAAGAATTAACAGGTTGTCTTATGCATAGCCAGAAAACTTCCTTTTTTATTTGACATTTTTAATATTAAATAGGAACCATATTTTTTATCTGTTTTTTTATTTCATTTTTAGATTTGTGACGTAAAAATGTGGAATTATGTCTCGCACGGAGATATGCGGCTTTTTTTCCGATCTAAATGTCCCGTTTCGTACCATTGCAAGAACCTTAATTTCTGACAAAAGAAAGACCTTTACTTGAACAATTTAACATTTATTACAAAAGAAAACTAACGAATGCTTTACTGGTAATTTGCTAAATAATTTAGATTAATTTTGGAAACGTAACAGATGTTGCATATTATGATATACTAACCAACAATGCGTTACAATTTCTATTTAATTTCACGAATCATTACCAGGATAGAGCGGCCGATCTTTGATGACTCAATATTCGGTGCACGCGACAGGACCATTTCGCGCGTTCTTTTATATTTTTACGTTACGCGATAATTTGAGTTGTAACGGATGATATTTTGAACATAGTAACGCACAGTTTAGAGATAACGGTATTAAGGGAGGAATTATCGCGTTATTATCAAAAACACTGCGTCATATCTCGCGTCTTTTGTTAGGGTTTTCTCTAAATAGTTTATTTATCATCACAAATCTATTTATCATCGGCAAAACTGTCCATTGATCTGTTGAATCTATTGTTAATTTATTCTCTATGTAACAATGAAAACTCTGCGGTGGAGACTTAACATCAAAAGTTCCGCTTTCCTTGTAGGCTTAAAGGGTAAAATAGCGGTGCTTGCGTTATAATTTATATACATGACAAAACAAAATTGTCATAACTCTCAACATTTTTTCGATACGTAAATATTTCCATTTCAGACAATTTACTATTGTAATTATTGGATATCTATTCTATCGCAAAATAAACAAATTATTGGACAGATGCGCGTTCTTAACGTGTCAAAATTCCGTATCAGTTACACTGTCAATGAAAATTCATTACCTCCTTTTTGGTATTGGAAACTTGCGTAATATTTGCACAAGATTTCGAAATGTCTACGTGCCATGAAATATTTATATTTACTTTTCTCCTGTTTATAAACATTTGACAACTTTATTGACATTTAAAATGTTTGCACAGTGTGATTATAATTGTTAAATAAATTTTGATTTAACTTGATACTGAGCATACTTGCCTTCTTAAGTCGTGAGTGACAGGGTATAGTAATATTTTAGGCGGGAAAATCTAATTGGCGTGTCAATAATAGACTAAAATGCTGTATAATATATGTTTAAGCATATGATTAAACTTTTGTAATATGCCATAGATATGTGACATGTTTATCATTGATGTTATGCATTATGATGATACACTTATGTACAAGTCTAATACAATGTCTGTTCTGTTAGTAAATAAATAGCTATACATTTTTAAAGCGACTGGGACACTTATTCGAGAAATATTTAGCGCAAAAACTTTGATTCTTGGATTGTTAAACATGTTGACATAATGATTTTTTATAGGGTTTTTAGAATTGAAAATTGTTTTCTTTCCTTACAAAGGGTAACCATAAACTTTAAATAATGGTTTGAGAGAGCAACTTAGATGCTTATCTCCTTATGAAAAGAAATATAGTAAAATGTTTGTATAGTACTGTATTATAATATATCATTGTATATAACTGTGCTATTTTATTATAATTGTATGTATTAATGTTTGTACACACGTACTAGTATATCATTGAATATCACGTATATCATCGTATACCATCGTATATTACCGTTGACATTTTTTCTTAGTGAAGTTATAATAATTGATGTAACAAGACACTGTCTACAAATGAATTTACTTTAAAGTAACAAAGTGTTATTTATGGCCGAAAAATTAGAAAGCGGTGTCTTTCATCAGTCATCTTGTCAGCATACCGACTTTGAATGTGTCGAGTCCTAAACTGACCACGGAAACATGATACATGTAATTTTGACAAATTACTGGATCCCCGCAAGGCGCCGCCATCTTTCCTATGTTCTTATGTACAGTTGACAATTTATGATAGTTACAAATCAAATTACATACATGTAATTTGTCTTGAAGATAATTTCGTTTTAACTAGAAGACAGCATTCAATCATTGTGTCATTACAAATAATCGACCGACTTCAAAGATGAAACACTAAAAAGATTTAGGAGATTTCTGGTACTTTGAGAGTGAAAATTGTTTTTTTTTACGATTTAGGTCATCTTGATTTATAATTAAAACGTATTTCACAAATCGGTATGTCTCTAATAAATGGGTTTGCGAGTAAACTTAATGTTTAAGTATGTATGTTTGTACAAAGCTTTTGTTGTTATATTTCAAGAAATAATAGTATTAGCACCGAGGAACCTAGATGTTATGATAAGATAAGGGATTAAAAGCCATCGGTTTGGTGTTCATTTTACATGTTCTAACGTCTTTTAATCTTGGTGATAAATTGGGATAGGGCAAACACCTGTACCAATAACTAGTGGAAGTTGAACAATAACAAACCATAAAATTCCATCATTTATTTACTTAATTAAATAACCGTTCACACTCAGCGAAATTGTACAACATTTTTATTTCCGATTTCTTTGTTGAACAAGAAGATAATCCGGGATTAGCTGGTATTTTGTACAGCCCTTATTTTCACTGTCGGTGACATTAATGCAACCGGGAACGCAAACAAAGATTTGTTCGGACGTGTTCGGACAGGACGTAATATCGTTGAAAAAATACATTCACACAAAAGATATAAATCTTATAATCTTGAGGAAGAAGAAAGGAAAGAAAAAATCAAAGATGCCGACCGTGCCTTTGTACTTACAGATTTTAAAACGATATGAAAACGTTTTTCTGTAAATTTATAATTATACAAATGAAAATGTAGAATACAAGTATATTTCAAAACGACACAAAGCATTTTATTAACTCAGAAAATCAAAGTTACAAGATTTAACAAAAATCTATGTTCCTTTTATGCCGATTTCAGGGTTCAAATCCCGCCATGGACTGTGAATAGGAAGCTATCAAGTTCGGCAGTTCTACTCAAGTTACCGCTCTCCCGACACTAAATTTATTTGGATTGGACTACCACCGTGTAAATAAAATGACTTTTATATGAAAAGACTCGGTCAAACCGAGTCTGCAATTTTCATGTAACTTTGTTGTGATTAATGCTTCCGAGGGTTCACCAATTTTTTTTCAGAATGACATATCGAAGACGTATTTATTGAACAAAGTAGAAGATTGTAAGTTAGCCCTTTTATGCGTTATGTATATGCGTCCCCACCCCCCAGCTAACAAAAGATGGCTATACTAACACGTACCCATGTGTGAGCAGATTTTTTAGCACTTTCTTGTTGTTCGGTCTTCTAACATAATGGTGTTTATTTGCGCTGAGCTTAACGCCTTGTTTACAATATAAAAGTTAACTGTTGCCCCATCAAAGTCATCCAAAGCACCGCCCCTGAATTAAGTCCTAAATTATAACAATAACATTGTTTACAGATTAGCACCCTTTTTGTTGCAACTATCTGTTAAGTCGCATCGACAGCCATCAAATACTTGATCTCTGTCGGTCTTCTCACCGAGGTTCAAAGTTTATTTTGCCCTATTAGATAGACAATTTTCTTAACTGTCAGCCATTATCTGTTAACAACACCATCTAATAGGATCAAAGTGCTAAGGTCTTAATTTTGCTATCTTTCATCTGAAGCGGACCTTG